ATCAAGAAGTTTGATCAATGGAACACAATTAAAGGATAAGTTTACTCTTTTTTAATTGTTCAGCATATTTCAGAGCAAAATTATCTGACTCTCCAAAGTATTTCCATCTCCCTGATTTTTTTTTTTTTTTTTTGGCCTGGTTCAACTTAACAATCAATTTTGTACTTACCCACTTTTAAACATTTTGACTTTGTCACCAGATTGAACCAAAACACACATAATTTTGTTCTATTTTCACTGTCACATTTACATAAGACCCCTTCCTTCCACTCTGATTATAGCCTCTCACTTCTTATCCAACCTTATACAATCCATTCTCAAACACAATAAAATGACAGTTTCCTTTCTCTTTGATACTTTGCCTAAGAAAATAAGGCCAAATTGCATTCTTTTTTCTTTAGACTCTTATATATGTATTGCCTTGCATTTTAAAAAAAAATTGCATTAATGACTTATCAGCCCAATTATTTAAATAAAGGATAAACAAAAATTGGATATTTTCATTACTATTATGACATAACAGGAAATACAAAATTGCAATTTTTTCAAATTTATTCAATGTAAGAATTGACTGGTTGAAATGACACCTGCCAGAGTGAAGCTAAGGATAATATGTAAACAAATGTGTTTTCTGAGGGCAGCCCCAGGTAAACTGTTAAGTGGTTAAGATGATTTCCTATACTATTAAACTTTTCTAGCATGTATATTTTTATTTCACCTAAATTACAAGTCAGTTTGATAATTTCTTGTGTCTCAAACAGTACCTGTGCAAATAGTGTACATAATAGTTACTCAATAAGTCTTTATATCAATTGTATTATTGTCTTATAAATTAACACTCTAGGAGCATCTCTTACTACTGTAAAGGTTGTTAGCTCCTTGAATTCACGTAGGGTCATCTGGAATCTATGATATCACTCATGCCCCTGGCTTCTTCTCACAGATACAATTGCTCAGGGAAAAAGTATAAAAATACACTTTGTTGGTTGTGCCTGTTAGGGCTCACTACAGAAACAGACTTTAGATACATATATAGATATACATATATCAAAATTTACTAGGCAGACTTACAGTGGCTACCTCTATTCAAAAGCAGAAGAATGCAAAACAGCCAACTGCATCCTGAAAGCATGAAGATCCAGTGGGAGGTTGAAGGTCTGGAGCTCACTGCAGAGTCCTTCAGGAGTCCTTTTCAGAAAGCTGAAAGGTGTAAATTGGAAAGCTGGAAAGTTGCATTGGAAGGCTGAACAGTCTGTGCTGTAAGCTTGTCGGAACTATAGGTGAATGTCCAAAGGCAATGGCAAAGACGAGAACTCCTCTGAAGAAACAAAAGTGAAGACTTTGATTTTCACTCCCTTTTTATTTTCTCCAAGCTGCAAGTTTATTGATTGGTGCCACCCACATGTAGGGTGGGTCTTTCCACCTCCTTTTGTGGCTAACATAATCATCCACAGACACAACGAGAACTGTTCTCCACTAATCTGCTAGGCATTTCTTACTCCATTCTTGTTCAGATCACAATTACTGACCAAAATGGCAATGCAACCAAGAGAAACAGCAACCTTTGTGTCAGTGAGGTTGACTCAAATGATGTGAATCAATTCAATATAGTGCTTCATGTTTAGTTCCAAATTACAGAGAAGTTCTTTATTTTAAATAAAAGTACTAATTTGAGCTGATGACTAAAATAGAAAAATATTTAAAGATTCTTCCTCTTCATTGAATTCGTATAAACAGGAATGATATACATATTGTGAGGGGAGAATTTGATGCCATGAATAGAGATTATTGTAGCACATTTTTAATTGATTTTAGTGAGATGCATATGACTAAATGTGTCAGTGCATTTGGCAGCATCTTGTCTCAAAGCATCAAAGTATGGCCTAAAGCCTCAGTAAATATTTGAGATGGAGCTAGAATTATTTTTAAGTATTGTTTAGAGTGCTCATTGACCTCGGAAACATACAAACCTCTTTCCAGGTTAAGACTAGGATAATTTCAAAACAATGAGGATTTAGGATAAATTGATGTGTCATTGTGGACATTTATAAACAACTGCAGAGAATGAGGAGTTATACTAGTAACAAATAGTTTTCCATTCTGCTCCCTTTTTCTAGGGAAAACCTTTTAATTTCCACATTTCTTATTTAGCTATAATGCATTCCTTTCCACAGGAAAAGCCTTTGCTAATGTCCTTAAGAGAACACCCTTCATAGGAGACTCAAAAATAAAGACAGTGTAAGTCAGTCTGTCAAAAGTTTTGATTATATTATATGTATGATGAGCAGTATGTGGTGTTTTCAGGGATGGAATTTACTACGAGATCTCCAGCCTTGAGAAAGTTGCAATCATCTGAGATTTTTCAAAATCTGCAAATGAAATTGAAAATATGCAAGTGAAAAGTATATGCTAATATAAATGAAGATATTTAAGATACATGTGTAGAAAACATACAACCTAAAATGTTTCACACATGGTAATTTAGTCATTATTAGGAAATTAGTGGAGAGCACTGTTTAATACTACCTTACAAGGAAAATGAGAAAAAAGAAAGAGGGTGTAACATAAATATGGCCACTGAATTTGTAGGTATTTAAACCTAGATTTTCTAATTTCAGGGTTATTGTGCCTAAACTACTAGTCTGCATTAAATGGAAGAGTTGCACATGTATCAGGCTAGGACACAGTTGTGTTAGTCTTGAATGAAGTATACGCTATAGATGAATGAAAAGAGCATGGAGTAGGATTTTGAAAGCATGTAGATCTGGAGGTGGGGTTATGAGGTGATAGTGCAAAATGCTAATGCTTCAGGCAGTATCTTGAAAGTGGAAATTAAAATCACACACTGTGCAGGTGTATGTGAGCGGAAGAGTGAGTAGCAATTCAAATGTAGGCGACTTTGAGTAGGAGGTTAGTAAATTGTAGATTGGTACAGGTTTCTAGGCAAGCAAATTTGTACAGTTCAAAATTTAAAATTTCCATGTCTTTTTTATGCCTTTTCACAATTAGAAATGCATACCATAGGAGCACTTATACTGTATTTTTTGTGAAAATGAAAACAAAAGTGAATTTTGAAGGTGAACTGTTGAATTTCATTTTAATTTATTATGGATCATTTAAAAATATTGAGGCTCATCTGTCTTTACTGACATTGAGAGATAATTGTGTTTTACTGACAGTGAAACAAATGATTTGATATACCTGTGTGTGTGTGTGTGTGTGTGTGTGTGTGTGTGTATTTAATTGTTCAATTGTGCTTAATATGACAATTCTTCAGGTACATGGGATAAGGTAATAAAACAAATAGAATGACAGTTCAGAGAGAATTCTGCCTTCATGGAGCTTACATTCTAGAGAAAAGAAAGTTAAAAAGACGGAATAAATAAGTAAATTACATATAACAAAATGAAAAGGAGATCAGGTGAATGAAATTGGGGGTGCTAGTGGGGGCAAGGTGTGGAGACAGACATATATATTGTAGTCAAGGTACTTAACACTGAAGTGAGATTGGAACACAAACCTAAGAAGCTGAAAATATGAAGAAAAAAATTTGTGTTCAAAGGAGTGGAAACAGCAGAAGCTTTAACACAGGCCTTGCTAAATGGGGACACAACTAATTTCAAAGAACACCAAGAAAGATGATATGGTTGGTGAGGAGGAAGTGAGAGGAAGAGTAAGTGATGGCAGGATGCATAATTAACGCATGGCCCATATTATATAGAGCAGAATTAGCTACAGCAAATACAATGTCAATGCCATGTTACAATACCCACTATGAAAAAACAAAAATAATTTAGTGAAATTAATTTTAGTAATGTATTTAAGACAATCTATACAAAATATTATCACATTAACATGTAATCAATATGTAATTTTTTTGAGATTAGGTCTTGGGATATTGCCTAGGCTGACTTCCAGCTTGTGATTCTCCCACTTCAAACTTCAGAGTAGCTGACAATAGAGATTAGCACTACAAGGCTCCGTTAATGTAGGATTTAGTTTAGAGATTTGTAGTTGTCTTTGAAATATGAAACATATTTCATAAATGCAATTCTTCTACATTTGTATGATATTTCAAATTCTTACTACTTACAGTGGTTAGTGGCTACCAAACCAGATAGCACAAAGAAAAGTTCTTATAGTTCATTGGTTAGGATTCTGCTTCTGTATGGAGAGAAATAATCACAGAATTCTGAGCAGAACGGTGTCCTGGTCTAACATATATTTATCGTTATTATGTTTATTAGTACTATTTAGATATATACAATGATCATAGTCAAAATACTCTTAGCATGCCTCACAGAACTAGAGAAAATAGTCTTCAAATTCGTTTGGAACGAAAAGAGACCTAGAATAGCAAAAGCAATTCTGAGCAACAAATTCAAGGAAGGGGGTATCACAATCTCTGGCTTAAAATTATACTATAGAGTTACTGTGACAAAAACAGCATGGTACTGACAAAACAACCAAAAATAAAAACAAAAGCAGAAACAACCCCTGAGTGTCAATAGGACAGATTATAAGCTATAGAAGCAATTCAAATGAAACACATTCAGCCACATTATCTTTTACAAAGAGGCCAAATACATTCACTGGAACAAAAACAGTCACTTTTAATAAATGACACTGGAAAAATAATTTATAACTTTAATTTTTTATAATTAAAGATTAGAAATTTCACATGATTTTTTAAATATTTGTCAAGTTCATTTGAGTGAGGTTCTTTATCTTCAAGATAGCCCTTTTAAAAATAATTGATTCCTACTCCATTCATTCCATCTACTTTGGCATAATTCTTTTATCTCCACTTGAATTATGTACAGTGATAACTTCCAAACTCCAGGATCTTATATTCAAGTTTCTTGCAGCAATGTACATTTTAGGAGTGTAGTATTTGAATTGTACATAGCTTTGGTATTTTTTCACATTATCTAGATTCTGTATTTTTCCCTAACCATTTATTTCTAAAATTGAAAATCAGTATTTTTCATTATTAGTCAAAATGTTACAGGTGTCATTATCACCACTATAAACACTTACTGTGATGGAAGCATAACCTGGGTCTCAGTTTTAGCCACGCTGACCAATTTTGGACACCAATCAACAGTGCCCTAACCTAGAATGAGGCTTTGTAGTTTATATTTTAAATGGATCACTCTAAGTAGTATGTTGAGAAACACTTAAGTTGGAAAGGAAGAAGGGAAATATGTTTAGAGGCAGGGAGCACCAATATGGGGCTTTTGCCCTATCCAGACGAGAGGTGATAATGACTTAGGTCAGATGTTCCCAGTCAAAATGGGACAACGTGATCAGATTTCAGTATTATTTTTAAGGTAGAGTCAGTATGATTTATAGACAGATTGAAAGGAAAATATAAGAAACCAGAAGTTTCAGGGATAATATACCAAGACTTTTGGCTTGATACTGGAAAGGTGGAGTTTCTATGAACTGCTATTGTGATGCTATAGTTGTATAGGTGTGGAGGGAGAAGATAAATCTGGGATTTCTATTAGACCTCCATGGAGTGATCTGAATTGACAGCTGGATAAAGAATTCTAAATTTGGGAAAGAGTTCCAGGCTTAATTTGAGACCCATCAGCCCAAAGGAAAAAAAAATTCTAAGACTACATGTGATCATCAAGATAGTGAGGGTGGACTGAAAAGAGATTTGAGGGTTGAGTATGTGAACCCTCCTACATTATGAAGCCCAATACCAGTCTGAAAGAACTTGCAACAACTGTATATTCATATTCAACATTGATAGGTGAGGTGATTTTATTTTATATATAAATATATTGATATTATCATAAATATTTAATGGTTGTGTCCAAAGAAATCTTCCAGCTTTAAGTTTGATGTGTAAAAAAGGTGGGAAATCATAGCTGCTGCTCTTACAATAAGAAAAAAAGTGACAACTGAATATCAGTGACTTCATGTACTTTTCATAGAACTTAGTTTATGGTACAAACTTCCATCCCAACCCTGGAGATGCAGGCATCTGCCTAAAGATACAACTTGAGGCATTTGCTACATAAAGCTAGAAATTAAATTAGAAATTAGGGGCTGGAGATTTAGCTCAGCAGCATAAGCGCCTGCCCTGCAAGCAGGCAGTCGTGAGTTTGATCCCTGGTACCGATAAAAAGGAAAAAGACAAAAAAAAAAAAAAAAAAAAAGAAATTATGATTAATTGCTAGATACAAAATATAGACTAGCAAGAATGTGTACACCACTTTTCTGGCCATATTAATTAAGAGGATCTTCTTACACATTTCTAGACTTTTCTATGGACATAAATATTCTCTCATTTGACTGGCAATAAACCAGAGGAAGTTACTTGCTTTCCTTTAATCTGCATCATGATTGAATGTTTTAAAGGATTTTTCATTGATTATAAGTTTTGGGCAAGCAAATATCTTTTCTTCCTTCTATCACTCCCCTCAAAGCAGAACACCTTTCCCACTGGGAAAGAATCTGCAATATTTGCATTGCGTTGATTGTCTTTCTCTTCGCTACACAATGCTTGACACTCACAATTTAGAAGCAGAAAGGTCGACTTTAGCTCATGTTTTTAGAAACTCCATTCTGTGATTGGCCAACTCCAAGATGGGTGCATCATGATGGAAGGTAAAAGGGTTGCTGGCCCAGGGCGGATACTGTAGCAGGTAAAGCCAAGGAGCTCCTATCTCCCCCACCCTTAGGAATTACCTCTGGCGCCAAACTAAGACCAGTGGGCTACCTGTGGATCTCTAATGCCCCCTTAGGTTCCACCCCAGGCCAAGGCTACTTATGTGCCTCACTCCACGTGTTCCATGGAGAGATCGCTGGCCAGGGGTGGAGATGCCATGCCCCAAGGGGTCAGGGGTGTCTCTCCCCGCATTCCCAAAATAAAGGTTATTTATATTTTATACTTCTTATCTTTTCAGCCGCCACCAGTCTTCCTCCTCTTCCTCCCCTCCACAGTTCTATCAGAAGGGAATAGTGGAGAAGAGCTAATTATGAATGGGAAATGTGAAACAGATTGGGGAACAGTAGCAGAAAGGAAGGGACAGGGACTAAACGTAGTACCCAAGTTTATGCCTCAATGACCCACTCAGGCACAACCAGAGAACTATATGTCAAAAGTTATTAAGTAAAACAAGTAATAAGGATCTGAGCCAAATGATAATTACTAGAATGTTTATAGCAACAGAAAACAGTATTTGCTGTATTTTAAGGCAGTTTTTAAAGAAATATACATAAGATAAGAAACAGTAGTCTTAAAAAGAACACTTATCAAATGGTAAACTATTTCCCTATTATTACTTGTTATGCAAATAGATTAATAATTGCTTGTTTTGTAATACTAATACATAACTGTCTATTGAACTAATATCTAATCTTAAAAAACTTTTAATTAAATCAGGATCAAGTGATTTTTGTCTTATTAACAAAAACATTTTGGATTTAGAATTAATTTTGATGTATGCACCATACATCTTTGAAAAATAATTTATTATTATGTTTAATGTTATTTCCTGTGGGAGGAAAAGACCTTAGATCATCAAAATGTTGTAAGTGTTGTGTGAATCATGGCAATCTACAGCAAAAATAATTGGGTCAAATTTCCTTACCTTGCTTCAGATTTTTTATTTGCTAACAAATGTCCTTTTTCATAATCTGCAGCTGAATACAATTATGAGTCAATGCATTCTGTTTACACATTTATATATGATATTTGGGTTAATAAATTCATGAAGAACTGGAGACCAGTTAGCATACAAAGGAAATATAATAGGTAGGCAGCCAGTTGTGTTAGATAACAGACTACATATGACCAAAAAAAGAAAAAAAAAAAAAAGCTGTCTTGGAGATTTCCAAGTTCTGCGCTTTCCCTAAGAATTTGTACTGTTTTGAAAATGAACCTTGATTGAGATGTAAAATTTCAACTTCCAAGAAGCTGAGTAACAAACACAGCAGGAATTGCCAATACCATTTTAATAGATATATCTGATAAAAGTGAATCTCAATGAATTTTCACAGCTTTCTGAACACTATCATCCTGCATTTTAAGTAAGTAGGTCAATGTTATGATTTATAAATAATTTTATTGCTTTGCTGCTATATTTTTATGATTATTTTACAAATGCTATACTAAGAATATACTCGTCTTCAGACAGTTTTATATTTCTTCTTATTCCCACTTTATTTCAGAAACCTTAACATTCAAACTCTCCCTGTCTGCTTTGCAATCATGCTCCTTTCTCCAGCTTCCATTCTGTCTCATCTCTCTTTCCTCATAGTGCAGATATTTTGCGGGTGCATTTGCTTCTTTCTAACATTGTGAGTACTAATATTTTCCTTCCATTTTTGATTATTTAATTGTGAAACTCAAGAAAATAATTAATCTCACACATCTTTATATCTCAAGCACTTACAACGATCTGGGCAAGCCACAGAATTATACATTTAATGGCAAGAAAGGAAAAAAGAAGGAAAGATGGAAATCATACCTCTTGATTTGAATGACTCTTCAAGCCTCATCTTCTTATAATAATATATAATACTTTATTCTTAAAAGCCTGGTGCTCAGACCTAGACAAAATCATGCACTCACTAAACTATGAAAATATTCATTTGGGGAATGTGCCTGCCAGTTTTATTTGGTGTGGGGAAATAACTTTTCATTAATCAAGACTCCTTCCATGAGCAGATTTGCAATAAGAGAATTTATGATTGATAGCGAACCTACTGAAAATCAGCAATTCCTCTTGCGAATTGACACAGTAAGGTGTGAAAAATAATAAATGATATAAATTGCAGAGATTTTAGGGGAAAAAGGAGGCATTTTGTAAAGGTGTCATATCATTCATGGTGCTGCCAGTGATTATCCTCACATACACACCTGACTTTTGGAAGCATTAGATCTTATTGAAAATACTAATGAACTTTTACCAAATCTTGATATCTGAGTCTCAAGATTAAGATTTGAGGGGTATGAGTGGTGAGAGGGCAGAGAACATTTTTCATAGCTCATAAGGAAGCAACCAATAGTTTGAAAGAGAATGCATTTTCTTCCTCCTTCTCTTTGGTGATATTCTGGAATTACTCAATTTCAAAATGCTTTCCCTCAGGAATTTTCAAATTGTTTCACTGCATTCGAGGCAAAATAATCTAGTGCAGCCTTTTCCAAAATGAGCCCCATGAAGTGTATTTATTCTTTGAAAAGTTTGAGAAACACATGTGATACATATGTAAATATTGATCTTTCAAAATATTTTAAAATTGACCAAATGAATAAATTTAAGTAGGTTTTACTATAATGCAGTACATTTTAGAAGTAGAATCCAAAACCAGGAATTCCAAGGAGGATTAGAAATCATTCAGTACTTCATTCAATAAGTACTCTCTGTCCTTACCGTATGCCTGGAACATTGTAGATGCTTGGGATATATAAATTAACTACATTAATGCATGACTTTAAATCTTCAGCTTGTATTTAAAAATCTTCCCATTTGTAGGTTTCTGGCTTTTTTTATACTGTGTTACAATGATTTTTGGTATTTATTGTTTATGAAAATTTATACATGGATTAAATAAAATAATTACACATGTCCAATTAATTTTATTCCTTGCTGTGGAGTACAAGTGCAAACTCTGTGAACACCAAGTTTTCTTAATATATTTGAATTAAAACAGTATCATGACTTATAAATTCCCAATCCTGACTTGCATTTTTGTGAGTTCAAACTGTTTGTGTAATTTTTGGGGAAAACTATTACTATGAGTAGGTTATGAAACTAACCTAGTATCAGTCAATGAAATCTAAATGGTAATTTAACAAATAAACATTTTATAGAATTTAAGCACAATTTGTTTTGGTAAATTATATGATTTGTTGGAATTTTACAAATGTAAATAAAATAAACCAAATAGAATCTTTTGCAAATTTCTGATTAATTAGAAATATCTTATGAAAAAGTGAATTTCTTTCAGTAGTTCTTTGAAAAGAGCAAAAACAATGAATACATATATAAAAGCAATTCAACTGATTCTTTCTTATTCTATCCAGTTGAGCTTTTAGTACAGTTTTCAGTAATTCAGTTCATGAAGTTTCCTGAACTAAGGATGAGAATCCTTTCCCATGATATTC